AGCGCCATATAATGATGCTTTATCAGCAATGGTATAAGTATATAATAGTAATTACTGGTTAATTATAGAATGAAAACGACCAACATGTACGTATTGTCACGGTACAGTCGACTGGAAAACTTCCATAAACAAGCATGTAATCTTTGATTGTGGGTTATAACTTGATATTATTCCCCATTGCATATGGATCGTAAGACAATTGTATCAAAATCTTTGTAGGTATCAATTACATCAGTGGGGAGTGAAAAGTCCCCAAAAACTTTACTGTATAATTTCTATAAATTCAAGTTAATAGTACGACCGAACACAAATTACACAGAGCAGCACGTTTATTAATAAATTCTATAAATTTTAAAATATCAAATATGAATATTTAACAAGCGCATGCAAAGTGTAATCATGTTTACCTGTGTATGTTTTATGCGACGTTGGCTTATTATATAGCTTACAGCTGATGTGGACGTAATCGATTCGCTTATAGTAGAACAAGCATACAAAAAAAGAATTGTTATTGGTTTCGTAAACTTACATATTTCTGGCACTAGTAATTATTTTTATCTTTATTTCCTGAACGTTCCACTAAACGTATTTTCAGCATTGCATAATTGATTAACAGACAGTTTTATCTCTAAATCAATACGAGTACCTACAGAAATTCTGAATATTTTTTCCAATTACCGATCAAAACCAAAGCTTGTTATAACGACTTCTCAATGAATTAGATTTATGGAAGACAACCCAAACGGTTGTCATGTCTTTATGTAATGAATTTCTTATTACAATCTCTGTAATACTGTATCATTTTCAGCTGCTACTGAAAATCAAGCTATTTTCACTTGAAACAAATAAAGGAGAGAGAGCGCCAAGGCATGCGGGCGCTGAGGACTCTTGTATCGCTCCTGGGCATAGGTAAACTACTGCTTGACACCAGGTTGTCCGAGGTGGATATCAAACGTGGAACTACTGAATAGCTCTAACCTGCTGTGTTGCTTTTACTTCGTTGTTTTGAATTAGAAACTGAGCTTACATATAATGGATATCAACGATAAATCCGTTCGCATTGACTCTGTTCACATGTCATGCACACATGACAAACGACATTTTGATAAACGGAAGTGCGTATCATACAAACACAACAATTACCTATTTACAAACTCACTACAAAAAATAAAAGACTCTGAAATACTAGTAACTAGAGGTAGCCATTACTAGAAAAATAATTTTACCATTTTCAATAAGCTAAAATTGAGAAACCCGAGTACAAACTAATGATAGCGAAGCTTTGAAAAATGCAGAACGCTAATTTTATAATGAATAACCCATTTCAAATCAAGGTTAGAATATTATTCAACCGCGATTAAAGAACATCCGATAGATATTTTTAGTCATCTAATAATCGCCGGCGTCTGCCTGCTTGTTGTCCATCATCTTGTTTTATAATAAGAGAACTCCGCGCCAGCCAAAATTAAATTCGGTTAAAGCGAACCAGAATAGACAAGAGTTTATTTTAGCGAATCTCTCTAATAGATACATTTATAAATTAAATTTATCAACGGTTAATTGTTACAAGAAAAGCAGTGATGTTAAACATGATAAATAAAAATAAAATTGAAAATTTAACTTTTCAACCTTGACCTAGCCTAGTCTATAGGCAACGCTCGCTTGTGATCGACCATCGATTTAATATTTATCACTCGTACAGTTATACAGTTATACAGTTAGATTATTGAGAATTATAATTAGTTATCGTGATTTTTTGGTTCTTTAGATTGAAAAATCTTACAATATTTTGTGTAAAAAATACTGTGGCGTCTACTGCGAAAAATACATGCGAAAGAAATTATTGTTAACTTCGTTCATCTCTAATTACACTCTCTACAATATTCATCTCTATATGTCACTATTTATCTTTCACAATATATAATCTACACATTATTTATGTAATTAGAGACAATAAACGAGTGATTAGAGACGAATGAAGTTAACAATAATTTCTTTCCAATATCAAAGAGTAACTACTAAATAATGCAATAAAAATAAATATTGTATTTTACTAACAAAGAATAGGGTAATAATTCACATGTTATCAAGGTACAAGATAACTCATGTAAGAAATAAATATAAATTCTTCTTATACTTAATATTAATTATATTTATTTGATATTAGCGGAAATTAGTAATATATCCCAAGTCATTAAAATGTCCACATGTTATAAAGTAACGAGAGCGTGCTCCTTCGTCCTACCTGAGCCACGATGCTGAAAACACGAACATTCAAGGTTGTACACAAATTGTGAACATAAAAAATGAGATTCATTTGAATAAACGAATTATATATTTAAATCTTTGACGCAGAACTCGAAGTCAGACTGTCGATTTCCGTTTAGGAGATAAGCAGGTAAATAATTTTTATGTAATGGTAATTAAAAATTCTAATTTCTTGTATTTATAAAAATACATTTTTCCCCCAAGTGTGTGTACTTTTCACAAGTTTTGTTCCAGATGAGTTTTTATTGAATAATTCAGTAACTTATGAATTAAATTTGTATAATATAAGCGATCACGTGCAATTCATTCATAAAACAGTCACATCGGGAGTAAAAACGCACACATAGACCGATGTATGAAAAATGCAACCAAGCATAACACACAAACCATTCATTATAGTTGCTGCACGTACATTTGCTAGCAACCTAACGATTTATCGCGTTCGATATGAAAGCTCTTAAAAACTTCCTACAATCTGATCTTATAAAATTACACTATAAACTACATACAAAATGTAATGATATAGAAGCCAAAAATACGACAAGAAAGTTTCACCTAGTTCTTCAAATTGTATAAACACGTGCTAATTCGGCGGCTAACATACATGCTACGAATCACGTACGCACACGCATTCATTAGTCCATACACATTTTTGAAATTCTGTTCCACGCATGGACATCTGTGTTCACAAATTTATTCATACGAGTATCTCAACAGCTGATTGGCCTAAATTTCATAATGTGATATTTCGATTACTCAATTAATATTTCCGTAGCGCACGGGAGAGATCAAACAATAAATTTTCCATGCGTAAAAATTATTACTAATTTGAAATATATATCATGAAGTAAAAAAATTACTTTGTTAGCTTGATTTAGTAGTCAGCATTTACGGTACGGTTTACCATTCGTATAAAAAAAAATGTTCAGGTACATGCACGGTAAAGAGGGTATTCTATATTCAGGCACGAAAATGTTTCGCGACTGCGACCTTGTACATTGTTATAAGTCGAGTGTAAACCGGGGTCACAGACTCAATTCGCGTGACCCAATTGTCATCCGTTCCTCCGATTTATGTTTATGAGAAATTATAAAAAAACCTTGTTATATTTTATACTCTGGACAACTAATTAGTACGTCCTAACAAAATTACACCAGCGATTTTGATTACAGGAAATCATCAAACCGTGAATATTTGAAATTAAATTTACTTCGGAAGCTCTGGGAACAGAGGATATGAAACCTTATTAAGCATTTATAAATTATAAATAAAAATATTTTAAATTATGCACCCCTACAGGAAGATTCTGAATATGAAACATCTCTTAAGACGTAATAAATTTTTAATTATCATGAAATAAGGATAAAAGTAATAAAAACTATGTGAAACATCTATTTGCTAAATATCTGACGTAATATTTCGATTGTAAAGGCCATGTGTGAAATTTTTCCAAGAACTCTAGTCGTCCGCGTCCTTTCTAGAAATGCTGTGGAGGACAAAAGAATACCGAAAAATTGCATACAAAGGTTCAGGCAACAGAATTTATTTTCGTACCTGAAAAAACAACATATGGCATAATCCAATGGTTTTCAAACTAGTCACTGTAATCGTTCTCGCATTTTAAATATTTTAAAGCAAAATGATTATATTTAATAAACTTAGCATCTCAACAAATTGTTGATTTTACTATAAACAGAACAATAAATCCTTAGATAAATCCAATATATAACTATTGCAAACGGCGCATTGTCGACTATGACTATTCATTAACGTTCCTTGTTCCAAAATAATATCAATATTCAGAATAGGTTTATTACACTATAACTCTATGAAAATTATTAAAAAAGATAATTTTAATTTAACCAATTTAGATTTCACAATTTTGAAGGTTAACAACTTTATTTTTTGCACATTTTTCAATAGTTGCGAACTTGACAAATAAGAAGAGATTAAATAAAGTATTTATATAAATATAGTATGTAACATTTACCGGGGCGTTATACCAGATTTTTTTTGTTAAATATATAAAGACGACGCGTACAATCATTTCATTTGCTTGAATTGATTCAACAATGTAATAACAGATTACACAGAGTTTGTCATATAAGAAGCAAATAATTTATCATATAATAATGTGTGTTCATTGGTATTGTGCAAGTCTTTATAGAGTTGTAAAAAATAATTGTTAAAGTCATAATGAATTAAATTTAAAAAAAAAGTTATCACTGAATAATATTAATAGAATTGACAGAAGAGTGCAAACCCCTCGTAAATTAATTGAAAAGATGAATTTAATTTGAAAATATTGGAGTGTAGCCGTGCCATTCCGCAGCGTAAAACTTTACGTCGTACAATTAAAACTTTGTTACGAAGCACTTCATACTAAATATTGTGTAATGCTGACGTTGCATAATTACATGCAATAGTAAACCGTCAATAAAACGTAAACAGAAGTCGCATGTGGAATGTATTTCATAAATACTACTCTAAAGTTCGTACTGTGTGCCGCAGAATCACACGATACACACAACATGGCGGGTACAACAGCTGAGTGGTTCGCCGGCCGCCTAAACTACGCGGGAAATAATTCAAAATAAATTCATAATACCACCCACAGAATCAAAATTGCACTGCACTTAATTCATAACACAATGTGACATATTTGATCACTTCCCTACGGCTCTAGATAATGATTTAAGGTTAAGATATGATGAAATGTAAACGTGCACTACCTGCCGATGTGTAAAATCTCAGATTCCTCTTCCTGATATTCTTCTACAACCACTTTATCCTCACTAGTGGCAAAATAAGACATATCTTGTACTGTCACGCAATTTTTAGAATTTTCACTAATTAATATTGACACAAAAACACAAATTAACACTAGAGGCGACTAGCGCGCACACTACGCAAAGACTCGCCGTGGATTTGTGATGGCGGGAAACAGCTGAGGCCGGAATGACGCTATGTATGAGATATAGCTCCGCTTGGGCGGTCTTAATAAATATTGCCGAAAGACGCTATTAAGTCACGATTTTTACACACAAGATGCGAATTATTTTAATTTCAATGAATATAGACCTTTATTACAGTTTTGACAGCTCAACTAAGAGATATTTTGAAAATTATAGGAACTATTTTAGTGCGCGCACGAAGACAATGCGCGCCGCCATAGACGCGTCTGCCAGCTGGCGTGTTAGCCCCGCCTACAAGCTATGGTCATTGCGTTTTATCTTTAATTTTATGAATACTCCCTCGTAATATATTTTTCTTCAAATTTCAGATTAACCTGCATGAAGCACAATTAAATTACATAATTCAAATATATTTACTAATATGAGAAAATAATTACATCATTATTAAACACTAGATAAATAATTAAATATTATACATTTTCTTTCAGTACTCTATACTATACTATATTAAAATTGTTTATAATCTTATATAACGCACAATAGTGGTAATTGTTTCATATAAAAAATAGGATGCTATAAAAACTTATTATTTAATGTAGCTTTTAGTAGTCTTGATTGTGCTGGATTTATTTTACATTTAAGTTGCTGTATTAGATCAAATATTTTTAATGAAGGTCCAACCTTCATCCCGAGTAAAAGTATTATTTCATCTTTGGTTAAATCGAGCATTGCAGTTCCATCAATTTTATTTTTACTAAATGTGTCACAGTAAGTTGCACAATCATTCACCCTTAAAAATTGTGCAACATCAAAAACATTCCACTGTTTAGGATCCAATTCGCCAGTCAAATCTCCAAAACCAGCTGAATCAACAAGTCTTGGAATTAATTTATTGCTGCTACATCCAGTATTCTAGAATTAGACAAATATTGTTGTTTTGTATTAATTATTTTTTATTATTCATATAATTTTAATTAATAACTCATAATTCAAAACCAATATCACATATGAACTCACATTAATGTAACTCGTTGCTTTTCTCTCAGATGGTGGAGCTATTTGAGGCTCTGATGAAACTGGCAAATTTTGATCAGGACCTATTGGCTCTGGAGCTGCCTCAGGCTCCTTCACTGCTGTTTCTTCCACAAGAATTGACTTGTCCAAATCTGCATTTTCAAATTTTGAAGATAATCTACGATGGCAACTTTCAGATTGATTTGCTGTATAATCCTTATTATTAGAAATTCTCAAAGAATTGTTTTTCAAAGCATTTATAGATTTTGATGTATTGCTTGCACCTGTTAAAGTAAATATATTAATAATTAGTATATTAATAAGCATATTAATTGAATATTGAATCAAATCAGACCTGCAGGCATGGATTTGTTCAAATTAGTTTCCGGTTTCGTTTTCTTTTTTCTTCCAGTTTTTTTCTTGTTGCCCTTAGGAGAAATTTTATGAATACTTGTCTGCTTCTGAGGAACATGTGGACCTTCCAATTTATGACCCACCATAACGCACCATCCTACAGGATATATATCAGGGCTTTCACAATCTAGCCATTGATCATATTCAGCATCCCAACCATCAAATTGAACTTTTAACAAACGACCAACAACTCTAGCTATCGTTGCAACACATACTAATCTAGGATCCATTAAATCAGCACACTCCAACTTCATGCCCTCTATAAAGCCATGTTCGGGTATTCCTAAATCAAATAGCCTTTCATAAGCTGCTAAATTCCCAGTTTCTTGTAAATACAGATCCCAAGAAAATGTATGAGCATTATAAAGATATGGAGGTGTGAGTAATATATTATTGGCCGCACAGAATCCAACTGGAAATATGCAAGGTGAACTTTCATGGTAACAAAACCAATCAGCACCTGTGGGATCTGCAGCATAATTATCAATTTTTATCATGATATAACCATAACGCAGTACTTGCATCACTGTTGCAACACATATTGTAGATAAATTTAAAGGATCTATTGCTTCCAATTTCATTCCTACTCTAAACTTAGATGGCACATTATTTCTTAACAAGCCATTTTTAAACAATTCTTCAGGAGCATCTTCATCATTTAAAATACCACTATTTACACGAAGTAAGTAACTCATTGGTGCATCTATGTTATGGCCAACTTTCTTAGCCCATCCTACAGGATGTATTAAAGGAGAATCTTCATGACACCAAAAACCATTATCTTCTGGTGTGCTGTCATAATAACAAACATGTAAACGTTTGCCAATTATATTACGTACAACAGCAACTTTAACTTGTGATATTCGATTCTTGTCGACAACCTCTAAATTTAATCCACAATGAAAACGTGACTTTAAGCTATCACTAACTTTATTGTAAAATGTCGATGGTAATGTCCGAGCTCCAGTTAATCTTTTGACCAAGAACTCTTTCCAGTCATTATATTTGTTTTGTATTGTTTTTGGAGGAATTAATGGTTTTCCTCTGGTTGCACACCAACCAACAGGGTGAACCTCAGCAGTACATAAATTTACCCAAAAATCTTTGGTATCATTATTTGCAAAACCTTCATAACGCATCAAAGCTTTATATCCAATAATTCTCAAAACAGTAGCAACCCAAAAAGAATCAGGCAGATTATCTGAAATATTGTCACAATCAGTATTTTCAACTTCCACTTTCATACCAACTGTAATGTTTCCCCAAATTTCATAAACCGGTGCATGTTTAAAACAAGTCACGGGTGCTGCCATAAAGTTGAGATCATTTAACTGTGAAGTCCAATCATAAGAATTAGAAAACTCTGATGATTTTCTGCGCACTGATTGAGCTGTTTCATCTAATTGCGATATTTCTGGAGCAGAAGCAAGTTGTGGAAATTTTTCTGGTAGTATAACATTTGAAAAATCATCTTCACATTCCATTTTGAATTTATAATTTGGATTAGCTATTGGTTTTATATCTAAGAAAGAATCTAAATTACTTGTTTGAAATTCGTCTTCATTTGCTTCCGAGGAATTTTCTTGCTTAATTTGAGATTTGCTTGTCAATGACTGCATATTGTTTGTATTTTGTATTATATGTGTACTAGGTTCTGGATCAAGCCCACTATAAACTCTTGCGCAGGCAAGACTACAAAATCTTCTTTCACGTGTGTAAAAAGCATGCTTTACTCCAATAGCTCCACATTTTTCACAAATGGCTGCAAAGAATTATGCAAAACTTTCTATAAATCATGATTAAATGTAATTCTAAAATAGTTATCATTTTCAATCATATATTGAGGTGACTTGTGATGTAACTTATTGTATTAATTAATAAGTATATGCAAATAGAAGAGCTAAGTACATTACAAATATATTCAGTATTATTCAGTATTGATAAGTCATTTTAACTAGTTGTTTTACATCCGGAGGATTTTATTGGGTCAAATATGCGTAAGAAAAGTTTTCTGGACTTACCCATGCCGTCCTTTTGAATAGGTATAACACTGGGATCTGTATCTCGTTGATATGCTATAGGAGTTTTCAAAACAAGGCCAGGGTGTTTAACAGGTTTAATTTTTCTACTGGTTGCTTGGGCAGTTTGAGTACCCATACTTTGTGTCATAGGAGCATTGCCATTTTCAATTTCATCACAAATCACCTCATCGACTTTATAATTTTCTTCGGAATCTTGAATTTTGTTATCATAATTTTGAGATGTTTCTGTATAATCCAACATGCTGTATGTATCTATTTCCTTTAAATGTTTTATAATAAATTACTTAAGTTAATTCAATTAATTTAATATATAATGCACTAAAGTAGAAAACATCTGAAGAGAGAAGTTATGTAAAGTACAACTAACAGGTTTATGAATTCTAAAATTCTAATTATAGATGAGTCCGCAAAAAAAGTACTTATTATGCTAAGAAAACATTATGCCCTATTATTTTCATGTTGCAAAATTTGTTAAGTCTATTCTATGTTGTAGTGAATATAAAATGTTATTTACATTCATATTTACCTCTTAATGTAGTATAATATATGAAATAATTCCTGATGTTTAGAGTCATTCAAAAAATAAACTTATATTCATATGCTAGATTTACATTATACTATTCAAGATATTCAAGCAAGAAAAAGCTTAATACCATAGGATTTGTGCGACTGACCACATCATCTAAGGATTGATTAGAATGTCCAGTAGCATAGAAAGGACTATCTTCCATCATAAAGTGCTCAGCACCCATCCACACCATGCCGAGTTCTGGAGTAGCCCCAGGCAACGTATACACTGCAATACAGATTCATGTTGAATATGAATGAAGTTTTGACTTTGCTGAGGTACAACTCATGGAAAAGCATATGCTGTGAAATCTTTTTTTGTTTTGAAATATATCGAGGCTATATTAAATATTGAATAATAAAATTCCTCAAGAGCCATATAATTTGAGAGGCGATAAGAAAATATAAATATCAAATAAAGACCATGATAAATAATCGATATATATACATATATGTATATGCATATATAAGAAGGAGCTTTGTTTTGTGTCAAAGGTGCATGTAAAGTAAACAAAGCTTTCTTAAATACATTAGTTATATTGTATACCGTTCATTTTATCACAAAGGCCTCGAATTTTCTATCCGAAATTCACAAAACGTATACCGAGACATCAAAGCCACAATTTCTACAGTTTTAATATGTAATAGTGTTGCCACATGCGATGGAAAATGCAGCACTTCAAAACATGAAATTTAAAATTCAAGTTTTTCCAATCTTAACGATATTAATCTCAGTCGTAAATATATTACGACTGTTGAATCTCTTAAGTTAATTAAATTCATCAAATTGATTAACAAACTTATTGTATCTTCACAAAAAAAATTTAATAGGCAAATTGGCGGCAAAAATTAATTTTGACCTTGACAATCTAACTTGAAAGATGTACTTGAAACATGACATTTACAAATTATGTATAGTGATATGAATGTGTTTGTAAACATGTTATATTTCTTTATGTTAATATGCATAATATCAATTATTACTATGTAAGATAAAACGTATCAACAATGATTAGATCACGGCTGATTGATCGACGACCTGACTAATCATAGTCCAAATGAGCACGTTTAAATAATAACAATAAAATGGAAATCAAGGAATTCAATTTGAATGTACCTTGGGGTGTCATAGCAGGTAAATTTAAATTAACGATACCTTAATAAACTATAATTTAACTAATAATAAATTCTTTAAACAGTATTCAATGAAATTATTTGAATTTCAGTAAAAGCATGGGGAAATTCAGATGATAAACCAGTATTAGCAGTCCATGGCAGACAAGACAATGCTGGTTCATATGACAGACTCATACCATTATTGCCAAAATGCTTTTATTATGTTTGCATAGATTTGCCAGGACATGGAAAATCTTCTCATTATCCCATTGGCATGATTCCTGATTTCTATGATTTATTGCATTCTGTTAAGAGAGTTGTTGATATGCTTGAATGGAATGAGTTTATATTCATGGGTCATAGTTTAGCTGCAAGATTAGGATTACATTTTGCTGCTATTTACCCAGAGCAAATTTCCAAACTTATCATGCTTGATGCTATTGATTCCGAGAACATACCGCCAGATATGTACAAGTATTGGTTTAAAATTCATCATCAAGAGTTTATGAGGGTTGGTAATGAGTTTTTTACCTGCATAATCTAACTAATTGGTATATTAATATTCATTCATATGTCTTTATTTTCCGCTCAGGTAGAGAATCTGATAATGTATGGTACACCGCCTAAATATACTTATGAACAACTAGTAGATCTATATAAAAGAAATAGAGGTCTCAGTGAAAAAGCAGTTCATCCTTTGCTTAAGAGAGCAATTGTACAAAATTCTGATGGTACTTTAAATTTGGGAATGGATCAAAGAATCAAGCAACTACAATGGCCAGCAATGGATAACAATTACAGAATGAAAGCACTTGTGCATAAAAAAGCATTTCCTCACTTAATGATATTTGCATCAGAATCAGTTGATGCAGGACTAAAGAAGCAACATGCAAGATTATTGAATGCTCTAAGAAAAAATAAGCTGTTTGAGGAACATGTTGTCAAAGGAAATCATGATGTACATAATGATAATCCCACAGCTGTAGCACCAATCATAGAAAAATTTCTATTGAGATTAAATCATCGATTGTAATATGTATAACATTAACACTAAAATAGATAATTGGGTTGCAAATGCATTTTGCAGGTGAATATTTTTTAAAGTAAGATATAATGTGAATAAAATATTTATTATATTTTATAACTGAGTATTTATATTTTCAAATATAGTGTAAATAAATTGTTTACATATTAGATGTTACTTTTCTCAACATCAATTTTCAGTATTCCATCACTTTGCAACACATTCAAAGTAATACTTTCACTTGTTTTCAAAGTCATTGGTTCAAAAATAAAAGCAGCATTTTTAATATAGCTCTCAGAATTCTTTGTAGTATAAAATATATCTGATTTGAGTAATTTTATCTCATACCAGTATAAAATTCCATTAATATTGCAATCGCATGTTGCAGGTACAACTATTTTATTGATTTTATTATCATTTAAACTCAAAATTCCTAAGTCAATAACATCACTACATGAAATGAAATCTATTTCATCTATCTTAAAATTAATGTGTGTTTTAACTTGATATTTATTAATAAACTCTGCAATTCTGTAACCTCTAACATTTGAATCGGATACTGTGCTAATGAAGTCTAACCATTTACTGTCAACCAAAATCCCATTTAAATTTATTTGATAAGGTATGACTAATCCTTCAGGATTCAAAAATTTAATAAGATCTATTTGTATAAGATAATCATCAGATATTTCTCCACTTTCATGCACCCAATTAAATACTATGATATCAAAAGTTGTAGAACTATCTATCTTACCTACATCACAAAAATGTATTTTTTCTATATCTATTGAATTCATATGAGAAACAAGAGTTATAAAAGATTTAACATTTATATCACAATCATTACATATGAGGTAATCACATTTTTTTTCTTTTAGCAATAACAATCCTAATATTGGAAATGGTGATAAATCTAACATAGTTGAGATGGTAATATTATTTGTTTGTAGGTACGAGAAAATAGTCATTAACATTTCAATATATAATTTATCATTCAAAAATTGTATTACTTTACCAGGTAAAGGAACACTGTTAGTGTCTGCAGCTAAGGAATAATGATCAATAACTAACATATCTTTGCAAAAAGTTCTTAGAGAGAAATATTCTCCATTCCCCACTTTAAATTGCTGTTTTGTACAAAATATAGCCTGGTCCCAACAACAATAATCATTATCACTAAATGGACTTGTAGTTATTATGTTTTCTTCGTCTAATTTTAAAGTCATCCACACTGCAAATGCATCCACATAGCCTTCTTTAATGCTTTGCAGGGACATTTCTTTTTCACTCTGCAGACTAGTTTTTAAACTTGCACACTTCAAGTCAAAATCATATAAGATTTGAACTTCTGTTAAATATCTAACATCTTTTATGAATCTTAAGTTTTCAGTAGTATACATATCCGTATCATCTGAATGAGCTAACAATTTGACATCAAATAATCCAGTGATATTTGAATAAACAAGTCTAGATTTTTTATATATTGTGTTGCTTTGAATTACTGCAATATGTACAATAACTCCTTGAGGAACTATTTTCCAATCAGGTAGTGTTAAATTCTGAGCAGCATGTTGTATGCTTTCAATCAAATTCTCTCCAAAAATTCCACAATCAAAAATTTCAGTTATTATTAATGATACTTTTGGAAAATGTTCTACTTCAATGTCCAGCGAACTAGTATTTAATAAATTAATGCTCTCACAATGATTTGCCACAAACACATTTTTTGCAATATTGAACATGGTTTTGGAATATTCACATGCTTGAATTGATTTAAATTTACCTTCAGAGGCAAATAAAGATAATAAGCCAGTTCCAGTGCCAATATCTAAAATAATATCATACCCATTACTGATATGTTTTAAAATTGCTTCACGATAGGCATTGTTCCTTTTATAATCATTAATCATTCGAAAATGCCATCGAGATACCAGCATGTCTTTGATTTGATTCATATTTCTAACACATATCAAATTGGATTTATCACACTCACTAGCATATTGTAATATTGTAAGTGCCTGCTCCAAATAATTGAGTCTGTAATGTAATATTTTTTTATTTCAAAAATTTATCCTAAAATTTAATTGCATATTATTGTGTATCATAGCACAACATTGCTTGTAGTAGTCACAGTTAACACTTTTAACTTTAATATCAACTGTTTTTGTAACAATAAATTATGCCAGTTTGTAATATGATTATCAGTTTGTGATTTAAGTGATGAAGGAATACTGAAGGAGTATACTTCATAAGTCTTATCTATCAATTCTATATACAGTTTATATACAGTCAATGATTGTAAATTTAAACAATTATTCGAGCTTTTATTAAGATTGTACCAGTATACTATTGGATAGCCAGCTATGATGCCCAAAATTGTAGGAACGCATATTTTTTCATTGCTACATACATAATATACATCTAATACTTCATGCACATGCTCCGAATATACTCTTAAAAAAGTCTTGAGTAAAGAAAATGTATTTATGATTATACTGGGTGCGGTTAATGATTCAGTTACATCAACAAATGTAAAGTAATTTAATGGTATTTCTGACAAACTATTTATATTAATGATACAATGTTCTTGTTCAATACATAATAAAGATATGTTTTTGTGCAAGATATTAGTTTTCTTAAGCTTTATCAGAAGAGTTTGTAATGATAAAGTAGTAATAGTTGGTCCTATATCCCAAATAAAACCAGGTTTTATCCCTATGTTTACAAAATATAACTGAACTGATAATGCCTTGTAGTACTTTCTCCAATTCTTATTAGGTAAAATTTCCTTAAATATACTTGTTATTTTACAAATGAAATTTTCCATATTTTTAATTTGTGTCTTACCTAACTAAACTACATCCAAAAGCATTTAATAAATTGGGACTGTCAGGATAAATTTCTAAGGCACTTTCAAACGTTGAAATTATTTCGTCATTCATTTCTGCATGATGAAGCAGATCGCAAAATTTAATTGTTATTGAAGTAAATAGTTCTTCCAATTCGATCTTTTCATCTGGTCGCAGCAACAATCGTGCTAATAAACTAGCAAAAGTATTTCCATAATTAATATTTTCATAGTCAGTAACGCCACTCATTTCTGTGATTTTTAAATACAGCTTTTCCTAATAAATGAAATTGTAACTACATCACATTTCAAATATTTATAAGCAAATTCTTAAACGAGTAAATCTAAATTTGTCTGAAACATAACCCATAACCTGACAAGATAAGCATGTAACATGAAAATATTAAAATAATTTATATGATGACGATGGTAGCCCTATGTAATTAAGTAGGCAAAAAGTAGGTAGACAGAATGACAGAATTTTATATAAACAAACTTGGGACTCTTATTTTATTATCTACAAATGTAAGATCATATAAAAATTATACTGTCTAGGGTAAGACCCATATAAAATATCTAAGTATAATAAGTTTAATATTTTTCAATAAATGCATCAAGTTGGATTGATTGCAAAAATGGCAACACTACGCACTAAAAATTCAATCAGGCTGACAACTTAGCACATAAATTCGCATCTCTACGTTATTATAATATCTGATATTCTTTTTATAGAATTCCTATATCTGGCCTGTATCATTCGAAGTAACAATTTTGTTTTAAATCATCTTTTATTACAATTTTATGTGTTAAAATCAAGCTATTGATGTGGTAACATCGACATAAATATTCCTCCATTTTTTCGTAAACGGTGTTGGCGGCCTTCGCACAGCGATGAGTGTTATTTATGCCTAAATTATTTGACTGTTTTCGGGAAGTGAATTGTTCGTTTATAATTGTTACCTGTTTAACATAATGCAATTGAAATTACGTGCTATTAAAATGCTTTTACATCGATTCCGTATTAATAATATACAACTGCATTAGCTGTCTGCAGTGTATATGGGCGAATAGTAGCCTAGGTGTAACCTCAAAAAATTGTTTTGCAATACAGTTTTGCGCATAATAGAAAAATATGGAGAACGCATACGGAATAGGTGTAACGAATAGATACCATCTATTCCTGGACGACGATGCTGATCCTTTAGAACTACTTCAATCTAAAGAGCGGGAAAGAGAGCTCAAAAAACGATCCAAAGGAGCCGATAAGAAGGCAAGGCAAAAGTGGAGCCAAAACCGAAAGCTACGCCCGCTTCGCGCAAAAACGCGAAGGAATCGGAAAATATCAAGTCGGCGGATAACAGAATTCGCGAAGAGAAATCCAAACAGGACGACGGAAAACCAGAGCGCCAACAGCGCAGCGGTCGCTTTACTGGTGAAAATCGTGAAGATCGTAATAATCGTCGCAACCGAGATGACTCTTTCAATGGTGCAGCTGATAAGGAATGGAAACCTCGGCGAGAATTTGGCGACAATGAAGGGGCTGAGCGTCGTACATTTGGACGGGGGCGCGGAGGTCGTGGAGGCCGTGGCAACTATGAAAATCGTGGCCGCTATGATAATCGTGGAAAACGAGAGCACGATTCACAACAGTCTGATGGTTCTTGGGAAAAGCGATCTGGCAGCAAAGATAATGCTGACAAGTGGCCGAAATCAGAAAATGTTCCAGTAAATGAACCCAAGCAAGAGTACGGCAGTGAGGAAGTTGGTTGGGATATTGAAGAGAATGTGGAAGTTAAGGAAGTGACGGAACCAACCGACAAGTCTCCAGAACAAGATGGAGAGAACGCCACAGAAGTACCTACTGTAGCATTAGAGGAGGAACCCAAGGAGTTGACATTGGATGAATGGAAGGCCCAACGTGCAGTTCGCCAAAAGCCAAGCTTTAACCTTCGAAAGGCCGGAGAAGGTGAAGATCCATCTCAATGGAAAAAAATGTATGTGCTAGACAAAAAGCGAGAAGGAAATGAAAGTGAATTGGAGGAAGAGTTGGAATTTGACATTTCTGATTACCCTCAACGTGTTGGACGTCAGAAACATATTTTGGATATCCAATTCACGTTCAATGATGCACGACGCGGTGGTGGCACTGGCAGAGGTTGGGGCAGAGGACGAGGTGGCCGTGGTCAAGGTCGTGGATTTGCAAATCGTGGCGAAAGGGCTGGTGGTAAAGCTCCTTTTAAAAATGATGGTGCTGTTCAAGGTGCTGAGGAAAGGCCAGAGGTTCATCTAGGCCGTGGACGTCAGAATGCTCCTAAAGTGGATGATGAACACGATTTTCCATCTTTGGGTTGAAATATATATATATATAATATTCTTAGATGTGACATTTGACTGGAGCTACCAAGATTTAATGTAATTAGTATGTTCATATCATATGGCACTATTTGGAATATCGAATAAGGACTTAAGAATAGCGGTGGTTACTAGTCATTTGTTAGTTTAACTTGTATACTTAAGAGTATGCTTCTATTATTTTACTAAATGTTTCCTTTTTATAAGTCATAACAGCTATTAGAACATCACTTAATTTCTTTTTCAATTTATATTTACAATAAAGTTTCAATGAATAATTATTTTATAATTGTCAGTCAATACCAGTTCAATAGATTTCATTTATAAAGCAAATAAAAGGATATTCTCTCTAAATTGGTGTTTCATTTATATTTAAATTATTTATTTATCATCACATGCAATATTAATAGTAATATTAAATAATTCAATAAATAAATAAATATAAGTTTCTTACAATATAAAAAAAATTCTTACCAAGGCTTGAATAGCTAATCATTTAAATACTTAATATCACAGCACTTTACAATTTAATATATAAAATAGGAATAAAATACTCTTAATAATTTATTATGGAACTGAAGATCCATATCAACAGATATTTAAACGTAAATATAAAGTATCACCTGAAGTTGATACGTTAGTTTTCAAAAATAGCGGTCACGAAGCCTAGACAATAATGGTCGTGAAGTTAGCTGTAAGCAACAGTCAGGTCAGATTATCGTAACAATTGCAAACAAACGTCACTTTTGACGTTTATCATATCATTGCACTTTTAAAAATACATTATCAAAATTATAAGTACAACCGAAAATAAAAATTTAAATTCGTAATACTCAAAAGTTTATCTTCTCATTAGAAATATGATTTAATATTTGAAAAAAAAAATGTTATAACCCTATTTTTTTTTTTGAAAATGAGAATATCAAAATCAGCAATTTTTTTCTTATTATTTATTTTAATATTCTCTATATTAGTTGCGAACGTCGCGAATTTAGTGAATGTAAATGATGAGTTGCAAGAATATGATGTTTACGAGAAAAGGAATCAACCATGGATTCAAACACAAAAACAGTTTCCTATTAAAGATTCTGCTGATCATCTCATATGGTTTCTACAAGTAAGTAGTTTGTTTTATTTTATGTATTTATAACTTAAAATAATATTAGCTTACTTGAATATTATTATAATATATATATATATATATATATATATACATTCATATTGTGATACTTTTACATATGTATATATTTGATTGAATTTTAACTAAACCAAAATCAATAATGGATTTTTCTCTTTAAAATAGATGAATGAGTAAATATTAAATGATAATAAATGGTTTTGTTATAAAACACTCATTTCTAAATCAAAATTTAAAAATCTCAAGAAATTAAGAAGTAAATTACAATATTAAATTTTTTATTCAAAACGATGCATTTAGATTTTTTCTTTATAGATATCTGACATACACATCAGCATATTTCATGATCCATCAAGAATTAGTGAATTGAGAGAATTTTGTCATAAAACTGTTGACATTATAAAACCGATTGTAGTTTTAGCAAGTGGAGACTTAACAGATGCCAAATCAAAAAATAATATGGGTTCAAGACAATTTGAGAAGGAATGGGAATATTATAGAAATATTTTAGAAGAGACTAAAGTTCTTTCAAAAACGAAGTGGTTGGATATAAGAGGCAACCATGGTATGATAAATAACTAAATTTATACTAAATTGTAAAAATATCTACATGAATTATTACTTTCAGATAATTTTAACATAGCTGGGGTCGATTCAAAGCAAAACTATTACTACAATTACTCTGTACAAGGAAGAATTCACAAACGTTCATATTTACATCAGGTATTGATCGATCTGTTAATGGTTTTAGTGTATAATCTATAAATTCATTTTTCATTATTGTAGATTAGTCTTGGCAATGAGAAGTATTCATTTATAGCCTTGGATGCTTCTTTGACTCCTGGCCCAAGAAGACCTTTTAATTTTGTTGGAATGATAACAAAGGCTGAATCAGAGTATGCAATAAAACTAGCAGAAGAAGCTAGAGCAAGTGGGGGAAACTATACAATTTGGTAATAATTTATTTTTCATTCTTCAACACCAAATTAATTCATTTATGAATATATGCTTGAAATGAAATAAAATATATATGTAATCATTTGGATATTATAATCAATTTGTCAAATAAATTAATTGCTGGTAAATTATTCATTGAAGGTTTGGGCACTACCCAACATCATGTATAATTGCACCAGGCGGGGTGTCTTCTGTTCGTTCCTTAATTGGTAGATATACAGAATCTATGGCGTACCTTTGTGGACACCTACATAGAATGGGTGGATTAGTACCCACTATGCACACAATACAAAAATCAGGTTTTTTAGAATTAGAACTTGGTGACTGGAAAGATAATCGAATGTACTAACAGCACTACTTTAACTTTATAAGATACCACAATGAAATTAATTTGTGATATATTTCTCAGGATTCGTTTGATGGCTATAGATCATGGGTTATTTTCATTCATTGATGCACCCCACGGACGTTGGCCATTAATATTAATTACGAATCCTAAACATGCCTTATATGCAATGCCAAAACGTGAGGCAGCTGCTAGTGAACAATCGGCTTTATCAACACACATCCGGCTTCTGGCATTTTCTATTGGAAAAATTACTCATGTTAAAGTAAGAATAAATGAACAACCATGGACTAAGGCCAAAAATGTTAAAGGTAATACAATCACCATCTTAAGAATCCGATTAACTCTTGAGTCTGGCAAAGGAAAACATAATGATCATTTCTAAAATATATAAATTATCAAATTATTATGATAGGTCCATTATTTGTAAGCAAGTGGAATGCTGAAAATTATAAAAAAGGTTTGCATCATATACATGTGGAAGTTGAAGATGAGGATGGTCGAATACAAACAATATCACAACCTTTTTCACTAGATGGAACTAGATTGAGTTTTGATCTTTTGCCACGTTTTATTCTTATGAGTAATGCCAGTCAAGTTGTAAGTATAAATAAATATATTAATTTGCGAAATTATTACAATATAGATCTCATTCAAATAAATGCTACAGTTTCAGTTCATGTTTGCGTTTATGCTAGTCATGTGTATTGTGCCACTGTGTTTGTTTCGTCTTTTTCATCGTCTTGTGAAAGGTAAATATCTCATATGTATATATGAAAGAAAGAAGAATTACTTAAGAAATGAAGTAATATGAATTAATGAAGAGATTTCACTTTTATTTTTATTTCCAGATGGCCGAATGAGGCCACCTAGAATGAATCGATCATCTATCCTTTGTTTATGGATGCGCAAATTGTGGGTTTTAGCATCTGTGGATAGGATATATTATCCCCTCATAGCATATCCAATATATTTAACCTGCGGACCTTGGAGTGTGGGAGAAATAATTGAAGGGCATTTAGGCGCTATTTTTGCTTGGGGGATTGTTGTGAATGGATCTTTTCTACCGGGATCATTTACATACTTTTATGGATATCTACAAATGTTTCTATGTCAATTTCCAATGACTTTGATATTAGCTAATTGTGTTGATAAACGGTACTTATTGAAATTATATATATATATATATATATATATATATATATAATATTATGAAATTAATTCTTACTTTTTTAGGCTGCAGTATCAACTCAGCAGCACAAGCGGTTTGAAGCACACAAGGTCTTTAATCCGTCTAGTCATAAACCACATTCCATTTATATTAATTGTAAGTATACAAATGCTGCTGGCTTATTTCTTCTGGTTGGCTTATGGTACATTGGCATTCATTATCGGCCCCTTGAGAACATGGTCAATATTTCTTAATGTACTATTATGGTGGCAGGCCATCACTTTACCAGAGAAATGCACAAGGTGAGAAATGTCTTACACATATTTTAAAATACACTAAGAATACACTAACACTAACTTAATAGGTTATATATTTTGATATGAAAACCATGTGGCATTATTAATTCTATTATGTTTCTTACTTGTTTGTCAATTGTACAACATGATTACAACAACAAAATTTTTTGCCTAACTAAAAACTCAAGTGCTGCCAAATTGAAAACAATTTGGCAAGTTCAGGTTGCATGTGAGAGTCTAGAAATTGCTGCAAGGATTATTATATATATATACATATATATATATATATATATATATATATATGTATGTTATTATTATCTTAAATGTATTTCTATTCCTCAGAGATGCTGCGGCTGTCTGGTCTGACACATGTAGCAAAATAGTCATTGATGCAAATACAGATACAGCCGATAAAAACACAAACTTATAAGTTTAATGATATTGCATGTAAATATAAAGTAAAACTGTAATATAATAGTTTAGTTATATTAAATGTATTGTGATCTTATAGTCTGACTGATAGCCTTACACATTTCTGATAATGGTGGGAAGAAATATTTTATAACAAACTGATATTTTTTGTCCTATAAAGTTTCGAGAGCCATGTTAGACTTAAATAACAAATATCGAATTTAATATTGATAAGTGTGATTACAATTATAAATAATCAATGTTGAATGTGTCAGCTACAATGTTTTAATTTCACTGATTAAAAGCATTTATTTGTTCAGTATTTTGAAATATATTTGTAACATACCAATAAAACAAATATAGTAATGCTTGTTTAATTTTTAAAATGAATATTTAATTGTAACTGATTAATAGAGTAATTAAATTGTGGGATATTTATTAAATTATTCATCACATTCCATTTTATCTAATTTCATACAAATCAGAATTCAATTCAATGTTGAGTAACTTATAAAATAAAAGAAATAAAATATGTTAAACAAATCTAATTAACAAATTCCATAAGTTTCATAAAAATTTCAATTTGTTGTTTTAATATGAAGAATAATTATAATGAAAATATATATCTAAATACATGGATATATATAATCTTAATTTATCAACAAATTAAATTTATATTCTCATATAATTTTTAACATTATCAATATATACATTTATTTACTTTTTAATAAATCCCTATAACCAAATATACCTAAATATTCAATTTCGAGATAATTTTATTGAACATTAAATGCAAATAAATTTAATGAATATAGAATCTATAGAAGTCATTGTTTATAAGTAATAAGTAATATAATAAAAAAGTACATCTTCAAAATAATTTATCTAATATATCAAATTTTAAGTACATTATAATTTAGATTAAAGATTATGTTAATAAATAGTTTAATCCTAATGCATTCTATAAATTTTGCAAAAATAAAGTAAAGATATCTGGCCGAGTAAAATTTATAGACATATATTTATACACAATTATTAATACAAATTACATAAAAATATAAAAATTAATTAAGAAAGAAGTATTTTATAGCTGTGCCGCATAACCGTTGCCTTGTTATATCTGAGAATACTTATTCTTTATGAGAACTATAGATAAATTTATCACTTTATCAATAGCTTTATTCGTTCTTATCTATGCACAATACCATACAAATGGATTAACTATGTGAGTTACTGTTAAATCAAGTAATTATTTCTTGATCATTAAATATTTAAATTATCATAATCACTTCATAAAATCCATAAATGCAAATACAAGCATGAGATACTTTTCCTATATACATTATATTTCATATATGTATCTCCAAATTCTAAGCGCACTCGATAAATACCAACAGAAACTTATGCGATATTCTGACATACTATTTATTTTTTTCTTATAATTTGAATAGTTTATCACTTAATGGTTTAAAAGTGCGGGAACACATCAATAGGTGCATTTTATACTAGAAGTAATGCTAAGTAATTGCACAAGGTCCTGGCAAATGCATTAAAATTTAGTACTACGGAATCCAGGTGAATATTTTGCTTTAAACTGCATTTTTCATGGTCACAACATGTAAAGCCTAAAATAAGACTCATCTGCAAAGTGGTTACAATTAAAGCTTTTAAGAAGTACTAATATTTGGAATATGTAATTTAATCGAAAACATTCCAGTAATACACCAATGCAAATTGCGCTTTGTATATGAAGTCCTCATAAATACTTACTAGACATTAACATGACTATATTAAACACATTTATGCTAAAAGTATGTGTCCTGAATATACATGTAAGTTTCTAGAGATACTATTAGGTTATTATAAATACTTTATCATAAAATTAATACTTAAATGTGAATGTGTCTCCAAAATTGAGATCGAAATTAAGTACTGCAATATTTTTTTCCATACCATGAAACAAAGTAATTACTTTGTCTTCGATTCCATAAATAGATGACTTCTTAGTTTTAATATATAAATTTCCAATGATAATTGTTACACAAGTTTCTTTAAAACTCCTCAAAGTTTTATAATGAGAAATTGTAATAATAGTTATATGCTATATATATTTATGTCGTTCTAGTAAAACTTCTCAAAGGAATAATAAAACGATATTTGTAAAAAATATATAAAATTTCAATATTATAGGATTAATAATTTTCACAAAAAATTTATTAAGCCAGAGCTGATATCAGAAATTCAATCAGCAAATGGGTTAATTAATATTTTAATTAAATGCATAAAAATATTTACAAAAATACAAATATATTACAAAAATGTAAAGAAGTGTTTCAAAAAATATACTCTTTCGAATGTAAAAGTTTTAAAAATTACTAAACTTTCTGCATAATGCAATAATTAAAAAATATTAGTCATCCAAAAATTTCATGAATATGGGATTGAAAAATGATCCCGCGTAATCGTTTAGAAAACTATTTACAAAACAAGTTTCTATAAAAATAGTAGTAAATTTACAACTGCACTTGAAATGCTTGTGGAGAATTGCCGGATAGAAAAGGATTTGTAGATGTTGTAGTCGGAACTTTAGTAGGCGAGGTATTTTGCCTGATAGCCAAATTGGCCGCCCATTCCGCATCAAACGGATCATCAGGTGAACGTGGGTAACCATCTGATGTGCACAGAGAACGCGCGCGAATAGGTCCGGAAGCTCGGCGGGGACTAACAGCGGCTACGGGGGTTTGTTTGGGGGACACTATCGTAGAATTCACAACCTGCCCAAGCCATTGCTCTGGTTTTGGTAAACCTTCAGCAGCAACTGGTGCTGCGACTTCATTGATGGTAGTAGCCGCAGTGGTAATCGGAGTTACGGCACCAAACGCCGACTTGCGAGGACTCTCCTCTTGTGGCGATTTTATTGGTACCGAATTCTGGTTCACAGACGATTGTTTGTTGAAATTGAAATCGTCTGAAGTACTGTGAGTGAGTAAAGATAACCCCATACTGAGCTGTTGACACATCTGACTAACAGATTCCGCCGGCGACACTTCTGGTATCGGAGAAACAGCCGGTCTTACTGGTGTCGTAATATCCAAATAAGCACGTTGACGTTCAGCGTTAGACGGAAGCTCGTTGATTCTCAACGACATTTGGCGCTTGAATGGTGAATTGTTGCTCAGCTGATCGAACCCACGGAAGGATCCTTGTCTTTCCAGCATGCTCGGAGTGGCATGAGGTCGTTCGATCGCAAATGGATTGAATGGTTTCACAGGAATCACGTTTTGGGTAATTGCGCTGCTGGACGATTCTCCTACCAGTCTTTCCGTGAGGCTGGGTTGTCGGAAAGAGCCGCTGCGGGTGAATGTATTATTTTTATGATCGAACGTCATTGTGACGTCGCACTGCTTGTCACGCCTCTGTTTTCGTTCCAAACAGGCGGCGAAAGCGCAGCCGACCGCATGGGACAGCCGTTCGCCACTTTCCTTCATCGCCAAGAAACCGTGGCACATCCAGCGCCGTGTAGTTCCATCGCGGCATATGTAACTGTATTTTGTAAATAATAATAATTACAGATTTTTTTAAACCAAACACTACAGGAATAGTCAACACTTCAATTATTATCAATTATTTAGAATAACCAAAAGATAACGTTTTAATAAAAACATTCTTAACCAAAACAGGTATAAAAATGTTCGTTCTCCCTTTGAATCATATCAAATCGGAGTTATGTGTACACATATCGATTGCTCTCGAGGTATGACACTAATATATATTTAATATTGGTACAACAATTGCACTTATAGATAAATATATCTATTCACATTTGCCCATTGAAAGCTAATTGACGCTAGTATCAGGTTAGTTGTATCATTCAAGTTGATTTATTATCCTACCTGAATCCTCGTTCATGATTTCTGTCTGGGGCACAAAAGCTGACTTTTTCAATTGTTTGATCAACAATCAGCCCTTTTGTGTCGTCTTCCACGACACGAAGACCATCACCGCTCACATGCAGAACTGCTCGGACTGCTCTTCGTCTGGAGTTCTAAATTTAAAGAAACAATCTATTTGTAACTATATTATTTTCGATATTAGCTAACAAATTCATAATTTTGGTTGGTACACACAAATGGTGAAGGTAGTGCGCTACAAACATATTATGAAAATTCTTGATGTTGTCGACTCCGCAATTTCGGAGTACAATGATGGCAATACAATCTATGTCTACACTTTATTTTATATAAAAATTAATCCAAAAATCACCACAAAAATAAACACAAATATATTAATATGTAAATTAAAAAGTCTGATCGATATTTATGCAACATCAAAAATTTTTGGTTGAAAATGCTCCTGAGTTAGAAACACAAATGTATGATAGTTCTCTGTGTGTGCAAAAGTGCTTATTTGTGCAATTGATTTTTCAATCAATTAATGTGTATATAATTGATACAAGAAACATGCGTTAGGATAAATTAAAATAAATTTAATTTATAAACAAATATTTAACAAAATCGCCCCACGTTGTCTATGACAAAACTTTAAATATCATATTTGCACTTGAAACATAAAGTAAATATTTAAATTTATGTGATAAGGTTGTTTATAAAACACCGAATTATTTAAACAAATCGGATTTAAAATAAAATGAATTGTAAAACAAATAAATTGAAAAATGTAGAAAAAATAAAATATTCAGTAAAAATATTCAGACCATAATTAAATTTGTAAAGAGCCAATTAAAATCAAAAATTTGTTCGTCCTCGTCTGTTTGCACAAAATTTGTGATATTTTGAATTATTGTAAACCCTTATAAATATAAATATAAGAGTAGATATATATTATCAATTTTAAATTCGTGTCAAATCAAATTTTGCCAAAACTTGAAAAAAAAATTATACAGAAGTGCACCAAAGTGTTTGTGATACAGTGCTGTAGGTAATAAATTAACAATTACGGGTGAATACAAGCATGAAGAAGGACACTTCAATAGATTCATGATTTATTTCAAGATGCATAGTAGATAAATGCATGGCAAAAGGTTTGTTCAAAGTGTCGACAAACTTACTTCATCGTTGGCTTCATCCTGTGTCGCAAAGCGTAAGTGAAAATTGTAAAATAAAAGAAAAAAACAAGAACAATATTATTTTTCGTTATAATGATATTTCATTCGAAGAACTTTATGCGTGGTGGAAACCAATATTGCTTGTGTACTCGACATGTAATTGTAAAAACATTTAAGACAAATTTAGATTTATTCTCGGACATAAAACCAGATAGACAAGTAACTAATTTAAAACATTGTATAGACTTGAAATACTTAGGGTTGAATTTGATTTCTTGCTACAGCGTTTTAAATAGTTAATAATAATTTATACCAGTTACTTTAAACAAATTCTTTTTGTTAGTTAAAATTTAAGTAAATTGCTTTGTCGGATATTAATTTTTAATACAAATTATCATTAACTTACCCTTAATACTTTAAGAGCCTCTTCACAAACTTGCATTCCACGCGATTCGAAAACTTCGACGCATCCCAAATATTTGACTGCAAATGTACATGTTCCAGCACGTACAGCAGATTCATCTGCTTGCCACTAAATTAAAAATGATAGATTAGAAATATACTTTATGAAAATAATATTAATTTGAAAAAAAAACAGAGAATATATATTAAAATCTTAACATAGTATTTCTGCTTCTGTTTTTGGCACGTATAGTTTTTAATGTATTTTGAGTAAATCTACTTTCTACCCAAAATATACCAAAACCATTGTCAAATTTCAAACACTTATTCATGAGAATTTTTATTATTTATGTTGTTTAATGGAATGGAATGGGGGTTTTTAGGACCCCCGTGGTGATTTTCAAAATTACCCCCCTTTTCTTACCAAACATCACTTGTATTTTTAGTACCTCGAGAAAATCGTACTTTTTATGACAAATTTTGTTTTTAACTTCCCGTAGGGTAAGTTATTGTAATGGGCCGAAAATCGGAATTGAAAATTTTTACATTTCTCGACGTTTTGAAGGTTTCTGAACGTTTTGGCATACCTCAGAAAAAATGGATGTGTGTGTGTATGTGTGGATACAAATTTCCAGTCACGTTTTAGGGCGCACGGATCAACCGATTTGAATGGTTCAAAAAACATTCGATTCGTATTGATAAGGAGACGTGCTGATTAGTTTTTGGCGAAGGCAGGTCTAGCCGTTCCGAAGATACGGGGCAAAAAGTGCCGAAAACGGTAACTCAGTTTTTAAGGGAACGGAGCGTCCGATTTGAATAATTCAAAAAACATTTCACTTGTATTGACAAGATGAAGAATCGATAAAATTTTCATGAAGGTAGGTCTAGCGGTTTCAGAGATATGGAGAAAAAAGTAAAAAAATGAGCCATTTGGCGGTCAAAAATGATCATTAGACATATGCTCATCAAATTATCAGATATTTTATAGAGATTTTAACAATAAGTATACAATTTGTTAACATTCCTATGGGTTCCGTACCAATGCTTATGCGTTAGACAGCGACGCGGCGCTTACGCGCTTTATATTTTGTCCCTATGCAGTTAAAGCAGTACGATTGCTTTGAAAAGAAAGTTCAGATCTTCCACAATATGTCAAAATAAATAATACATTAATTAATTAAAATAAATAAACAATATTTCAAAAAAAAGTAATTTTTTGTCCAATTTATAGTTTCTCAAAAATCTTATTTTTTTAAAGTAATTTTTTTTTTCGAAAATGTTAATCGTTTTTAAAAAAATAATAATTTCTGGTACGGGAAGTTCCAGCAATTTGCCTTAAGGCACGATGCCTTAATTGCCTTAAGACAGAATTCCACTTACAGCTAGCTAATATTTCTAATTTCCTCTCACCTGATGCGGTTTACTGCTTTCCGGTACGCGATCTTTGCGCCTGCGGAAGGAGTCGCGAAAGCTGCGCCTTAGCCGGTCCATCCTGCGCGGCGAAGAGCGCGACTGACGCAGCGAACTGCGCGCCGACTTCTGCTGACCGCTGCCCGCCGACTGGCCTTGCTGGCCGCCGCTTTGCTAATAGACGAAATATATAACAATTATTATTGTGAATCATCATTTTTGACAAATTTGTAAATCAACATATAAAATTGAATATGAACGTGTGTACAGTAGTAATTTATTAGTAAGTTTTTAGTACAATGATAACATAGAATTTTCAGAAACAAAATGACAAGTAGATGGTATGTAGAAATTAAACCTGAAACATGGGAATTACCATAATTGCTATATAATTTAGCAGAATTTTATCCGATATAAATAGAGTCGCTTTCAAAACAAATCTCACATTAGCAAAAAAGTAATATAACAAATAGTTCAATTTATGCGCATATAAACAACGGTTAGTAATAATTATATTGCAATCATAAATGATCGTACAATAATAGAAAATAATTGACAATAATTATATGGTCATAATTGATATTAAAATTTATGGAAAAATACAAAATTTACAATATAAATGCATTAAAATTACAATATAATGCATATAAATAATGCATTATCACGAGTTACGTAAAAGCAATAATTTGTAGAGTTGATTTAATTCAGTAGAACTTCGATTATACGGACCTCGGTTATACGAATTTATATGAATGTACACACCTACAATTCGAATTTTTGGACGATTAATGCTACAATTTAGTTCATGCATGTAAATGCAATGTAATCGAAAAAAATCGTACATGCATAAGGAAGTATTAATTTCTTAATAAACATTGATTTTTGTTGATATCTATGTACGAGGTGTGTTCAAAAAGTACCCGGAATTACTAATAGTTAAATTTCGCGGGTCTGGAGTGTCTGATTGTCAAAATTTTTTTTTATTGTGTTGGCATACATGCCCCTAAAGTATGATGAAATTTTCAGCTATATTCACTGTTTACTTTGTCTGTGGTAGTCGCTAAGGTTCGACGTGTTTTTCTGAGCTCGGCGATTTTTACAATGGAAGAATTGAAAAGTCAAAGAATTTGTATTAAATTTTGCGTAAAAAATGAAATAAAGTGTTGCAAAGTGCAAAAATTCACCAGATATGGCTCCGTGTGACTTTTTCCTATTCCCAAAGTTGAAGAGACCCATAAAAGGACGGCGGTTTTCCTCGATTGAAGAAAATCGCTGAGAGTGCTCAAGGACATATCAAAAAGTGAATATCAAGGGTGCTTCGAAAATTGGAAAAAACGCTGGCATAAGTGTATTATATCTGGGGGGGACTACTTTGAAGGGAACCACATTAATGTAGACGAATAAATAAATATTTTTTTGAAAAAACGAAAATTCCGGGTACTTTTTGAACAGACCTCGTATGTAATTGTTATTTTTAATAAATACACATCATTATTCTTCATAGCGATCCTTCTCACGCAGTCAAATAATATATAACTCTAACAAATGTAGGTGAATGTACTTTGTATAGCTTGCTATGAAATATAAAATAAAAAAAATATTCTTCATACATTCGATTATCCGAATTTTCGATTAGGGGCCGTTTAAGTATTACGTAAGCTCTATAGGAGGCGGGGGGTTGTTGATTTGCTTATTTTAGTTTGACATGGGGGGCAGGGGAGTCTGAATGATGATTACGTCATAGGCAGTATTTTTATTTTTTTACCGAATGGCAACCTTATATTGTCTTTGCCAGTACCAAAAATTTAAAATAAGTTGGTTATGTTCGTAAGATTATAATAATTTTATTACCCTATGTTGAATACCATATCAGTAAAATCTCTACAGCCTAAATCTATTTTCTTATTTTTAAAATTATAATTATAACCTAATAATTACAATATTAAAAAAAAAACAATACATTAATTGCAAAATGTTTACGTAAGCATGGGGGTAGGGAGTAAGAGCTTTGCTGACAAGGGGGATGCGGGGGGGTAAATAATTGTAATAAATCTGCTTACGTAATACTTGAATGATCCCTTATCCGAATGCCCATCGACAACAATTAGTCCGGTTAATCGAAGTTCTACTGTATAATATACAAAATCTCTTAATATGAGATGCTGTATGTAAACCTGATAGATCTGGTTATAACCTATCGTAATTGGCATTTTATCGAAAAACAAAGCATTTCTATAGATTAAGATATATCTAAGAATAGATGCATCTATTTTCATGATTTTTCGATAAATAATGGTATCTTTCCAGAGTAAACCTTGTATTATAATTATTATGCTCATAATAGAACACTTGCAGTGTTAATGATAATTAGCAAGAGTCTTCAATTAGCAGCACCTTTGCGAAATAATAATAGAGATATTAGTTACAAAGATTCCAGACCTGTGATCTGATTATGAAAAGTTGCAGCAATCCATCAAGCTGATGCATGATTATATGGTTATTAAAACTGTACGAAGGTAAAAATTTAAATATCATCTACATAAATGACATCCATATTTTTGTTTTATGAATTTAAAAAATATATATAGAAAGTAATTTTTCACTGATTTTGACAATTTTGACTTGGATGTTGACAATCCAAGTACGTAAGTATTTTATTTCGCATTTTATTCTCACTATCAACCTGACAGAAATAGCAGAAAACTATTACAATTCAAATACGTCATATAATAACGAGCGTGTCATGTCCAATTTGCTATTTATATTTGGTTAATAAATGATAAAATATTCACGACGATATTCTTGAATGACCGACACTGATGACGTTTGGAACGAAATCTAAAATGGCAATATTACTTTAAACTATTTATAGATATTGAGGGATCGATGGTGAAGGTAACTATCTAAGTTTAGAATAATATTATATATATATATATATATATATATATATATATATAAGGGTGGTCCTTAAAATGGTCATTTTCGAATTTCCTTGTTCCCAGGGGCTCAAATTGTTCCAAATTGATAAAAAACAATTCTCTGAAAGTTTTAGCTCATAATAATAACTTTTAGATGCTACGCAATTCAATCAAACTTCGTATGGAAAAAGCATGGAAAAAATTTTGAAAATTTAAAAAATGTTTTTAATAAGTAAAACTCATTCATTTGTCACTAAGTCATTCCTAAAACCATTTGAGCCCTTGGGAGAAAGGAAATTCGAAAATGTCCATATTAAAGACCACCCTAATGTATATATATATATATATATATATATATATATATATATATATATATAATAGTTACTTCTTCTAATATCAAACTCAACCAAACTCCTAGAAATCAGATCTATCAAATTAATTGTTTAGATTGCAAATCAATTTACATCGTTCAAAATTTTCAAACTTAATTGTTATACATTTCACGGATATCATATTTTAATGAAAATTTTATCCCTTATTTTGTATTCTTTTTATTTAAATTTATGTTATTGTTCATTATTGTTACTAGACGTTAAATTATTTAGCAGTTGTAACAAATATAGTAATTAAAAAAAAAATTAAATTTAGTTTCCGCAAAAAGAAATATTTGGAACTTATGAACTTATATTTAAGAAAAACTTATAAACTTATATTTAATCAAATAATCTGGCAAAGTACCACCTGATACAACTATTACGTATGAAGACACGATTACAAAATAAAAAATTGTTAAACCTAGTTTGATTTATAACTGCTTTTTGTGATGGTTTCAAAATATATTTTTATAAATATCGACGAAACACGAATTGCAAGAGTTTGCTAGAGTAGAAAACTAGAAAAGAAACAGAACACGCTGAAAGCGCTGTCTACTCTTATCAAAATATAGTTTATTATTTTCAGGATGAAGAATTTAAAAACAAGTGCTGTAAGTTACAGAAAATATAAATATGTGACTATACCTTTAAGCTTTGCTTCATTAACACCACGATAAAATGATACTATTAAAAATTACATGAATATCTATTTTAATTTTTAATTTACCAGATTGCACCTACGATTTTTTTAACATATTCCAGGTATGGATAATATTCACCATCTTTTCATTGATTAAAGTGAACTTTTTTAGTATGTTTATTAGCTAATTGTAATAATAGTATTTGTAATAATTATTTTAGATGGTAAATTATAAAATAGTCAACCGTTAAACCTACTCCAGGCGCGAAAATATTTTTTCACACGTTCCACAGAGGGTGTACAATGTATATGTTCCATCTAAAAAGCTCTCGGGCGTTCCGCGCCCGGGCCGACCTTGAACCAATGCGGTAGGCCGCGTCGCTGAAAGTTCGGCACGGCCGAAGCGACGCACGTCAAGCTCGGCGTGCTCTGATTACATAGTCACACGTGATCAGAAAACGTATGAAAACGCGATGGAAATTGGCGCATTCTGAACTGACAAAATGGCCTGGGATCAGGAAAATCCGTTGGGATAGTAGATGAACGATTTATTTGGAAACCAGGTCGCAAAAAGATCACATGCGCATTTATTTGAGCTTTTTAGTTGTACTTTCATTTTTAACAGCAATCGGGACTTTCGTCTTTTGAGCTTTTGCAAACTTCTTGTTTTTATGATGTATTTGAATGACAAATCAACCGTGAATCCGTTAATTGATAGATTTTATTATTAGAATTTATATAATATTGATCATATATTGCCTAATTAGATATAGCGATGCCCATATAAATTATTTTCAATTTTGAGCTGTAAAACAAAGACCATTAGTTGACAAACCCATTAATCGTTAAAAAATTTACAATAATAACACAGGTCCGAAAAATAACTGTACTTGCATGGATTGGGTGTGCGGCATAGGTTTTTCAATGTAGATTTTACCTCTGAACACGAATCTAAAGCCGAAATTGAGGGTCAAATGGCAAATTGAAAAAAAACGACTAGCTGTGGAGTTCTGTCTTAAGGCAAAGGCAATTAAGGCATCATACGTCAAGGTAAGTTGCTGGAACTTCCCGTACCGCAATTCAAAATTCGAGTAATTAAAAATAATCAATAATAATAATCAATAAAAGTTGATCAATGATTTGAAACTTTTAATAAAATTTCGAACCATATGAAATCATTCTATCTTAAATCATTTATTTTGAAATATTTTGGAAATTCTGAACTTTTTTTCAAAACAATCGTATTGGTTTAACTGTATAAAGTCGAAATATCGAAGCGCGTAAGCGCCGCGTCGCCGTCTAACGCGTAAACATTGGTACGGAAGCCATAGGAATGTAAACAAAATTTATACTTTTGTTGAAATCTCTATAAAATATCTGATAATTTGATGTGCATATGTCTAATGATCATTTTTGACCGTCACATGACATTTTTTTTTACTTTTTTTACTAGGTCTCCGAAATCGCTAGACCTGCCTTCATAAAAATTTGATCAGTTCTTCATCTTGTTAATACAAGTAAAATGTTTATTTTACTATTAAAATGTTACTATTAAAATGACGCTCCGTTCTCTTAAAAACTGAGTTACCGTTTTTGGCACTTTTTGCCCCATATCTTCGGAACGGTTAGACCTGCCTTCGCCAAAAACTAATAAGCACGCCTCCTCATCAATACGATTCGAATGTGTTTTGAATTATTCATTCGCTTCATCCGTGTTCCCGAAATCGTCGACGAAAATTTGTATCCGCACACACACATACACGCACAAACACACACACACATACATACATTTTTTCTAAGGTATGATAAAATGCTCAGAAGGTTTTGAAACCTAAAGATATATAAAAATTTTCATTTTGGATTTTTTTTGCGATTACTATAACTTGCCCTACGGGAAGTTAATAAAATCTCCTTTCTAGTAAATCGTTTGCATATTAATCAAAATCTCATTATCTCTATCGTTTCCTGGCTCTTTCCACCTTAAATGACTATAAAGTTTCAATTAAATGATCTATTGAGTTTTTTTTTGGATAATTCAGCCTAATAGTTCCTCCCCATTGCCCCTGGGTAATCTGTTGTTTGCAATGTGTTCGCAAAATATTGCTATATTCTAGGATCGACTGCATTAATTAAAAAAATTAATATTTCATTATTTAAAATTAAATATTTTCAAACTAATATATTATTACCATGCGCATCGTTGTTTGCGAGCATTCTCCAAAACGTAATCAATTTTATCATGTATAACCACAAAAACACAAGTAACATACTGCGAAATTGCCTTAGTGGCTTGGTTTATGAAAACCCAGCAAAAAGTAATTTGTTATAATTAAACATGCAACCAGCAAGAAAAACTAATAAAGTATTTTATACAAACTCAGTTGTAGTCGTTATGAAATTATTTTAGTTGGTATTTCCATAGTTTCTTATATTTGTGTAAAGGTTAGACTACATTTGAGAAAAATTAAAATACTTTTTAATGAAAAACTTTTTCTTTCTTAGATAGGAATAATGACAAACTAGTAATTTTTCAAACAAGTGTTGGCGTTAGTACGCCATTACAGAAAATCATTTATTGATGATTTTATGTCCGAGATAAAATCCTTCGAAAAAGCACTTTTAATCATTTGAAAAATAAAAATCGAAATACGTAGTAAAACATACATAAATACAGTGTTAAGTATAACATTAAAATTGCTGAATCTGTGTGCCACATATTCCTTACAAGGCAGTCGATTTCATAAATACAAATATGAACTATTATTACAATCAGCTAATAAACATACTGAAATAGTTCGCTTCAATCAATGAAAAAATGCTGAATATTAACGATACCTGGAATATGTGAAAAAAATCGTAGGTGAGTACTGATACATTCAAAATTAGAATAGATGTTCGTGTAATCTTTAATAGTATCATTTTATAATTCCTTAGCAATATATTAGTATGTATATGCTATTGGTAACACGCTGACGATATGCAATTAATCTCGTGATTATTTACTTAAGTTTTCAGTAATTAATTACTATAGTGAATTTCAAGTTCGCTCTAAATTAGTTTAAGGAAATAGATGCACTTCAATCAATTTAAATTATTTTGGAATTAAATAAGTTAGCAGCACTTCTGCCAAGCCCATTTTGGAAGACGCTAGAACATTTCTCACTTGCAATCCATTAACATCCATTAGTAACTCTGCCGGAGGATGTGCACAAAACCATTACTGAAATATGATTATTTCGAATGCCATTACAAGATTTATTGCAATAAAATTCAAAAGATTTATATCGATATAACCGCAAGTAATTAACACTTTCATAATTTGCAATTAGTAACGCGAATAGGAATAATCAAGTAAAAAATTGTGAAGTCCTATATATTTTATTACCATCGCATGAAAATCGAGTTTCTATAATAATATGATTACAAATTAATTATTATTATCCTGAAACGATTTTGTTATAAAATGAACTTGTTATCCAAATGAAATTTCAACAACAACAACAAGGTAATAGTTGCACTTATAATTGTAAGACAATGCATTTATATACAATGATATAAAACATGCATCCATGCAACATGATGCCATAACATTCATGATTCAGGAATGAAAATAAAATTTGCACTAGTTTTAACCTGGTCAAGACGAAACAATACACATTTGTTAAAATTTGATAATTATCATGATCGTTGATTATAGTGTCTTGTTAATTAATATCGTGTCATAATCTTACCGTTCCATTATGATTAGCAGCAAGTCCGCCCCTGGTAAATCTGCCTTCCAGAGGTTCGTGAGTTGTAGTATTACCCATTCTTCGTCTTCTTCACAATTCAAAATTCACACACAATACATTCAAAATAAAACTGTCACCTAATTCTAGTCGCGATTATATACATCGTAATAATTTGGAAGACTAAAATATCACCAGCCCTTATGATTTTTTAAGGGCCTTATACCAGCTTTGATAATATCTGGCATGTTAGAGTATTCAGTTAGAGTATTTTTAAGGATATAATTTTTGCCAAAAGTTAAGTTCTTATATATTTTATCTCAATTTAAGGTATTTTATTTATTTTAAATTATTTCGTATCTTCAATAATCTCCTCGTAGGATCCCTCAAATAATCCTTGATAAAATTTATCCTGACCCTTCGTCCTGTATTTCTGTCTGTTTTGTAACATGAAAGGAAAATAAAACGAAAAAGATAACAAAACATATACAAAATCAATAAAAAAATCAATATAAAAAATAAAATATATTTTATCTAATATAAATAAATTTAACTACAAAAAATAATTCTCGCTCACAATACCTAGACCGTTAGTTTCATTACGGTTGTTTGGTATTGCAAAGCATCGAATTTTTTTTTTTTTCGTGCAAATGAGCATAATAATTTAATGTTCTACTGAATAAAAAACTAATTATACAATGCAGATGATATTGGAAAACGCCTTGGTGGTCGATGTATAGATATACGTGTGTTGCTAATTGCAAATTAAAACGCAATTGCACGCACCTAAATTTATTATTTATCTTGATTAAGTCGTAATAGAATACAATGATAGTTATAATAATTGTTTTATAATTTATTTTGTGTTAATTTATATATTGTCATATTTTCTAATTATATTAGACGTTCAAACATATTTGTTGATAGATATAGCAGCCAAATCGTCAAATTCAGGATGTATTAATATTAAAATTCGTGTCATTGTTCAGCAGTTCACTCCAATAAAAACAAATAGAACAGTTATATTATAAAAATGAAGAAAAAGAAATGAAGAAATATAAAAAATAAAAAAATAGAATAGCACCCAAATATGTTCAATACAATAATGATGCCTAATAGTGCATAGTGCAAATTTTACAAAAAAAAGTCTATTTATTAAAAATTCAATTTTCAAACAAATATTTAAAATAAAAAGTTTGAATATGCAAGTTAAATTAATAATATTACAAAAAATGATTTATTCAAAATGAATTTTCAAAAAAAAAAAAAGTAATATAAAAAGTTCTAAAAGACACATTGAATTACCAATTTTACAATTTTTGATTTGAGCAAAAAAAAGTAATAATACTAGAATTAATTTAAATTTTCTGCATTTCGAACAAAATATTAGTTTTCTATGGTAATGTTGGATCATTTTTTATAGTTGGATAATTTCCATGTTGGATCATTTTTTATAGTACATTTCTGTATTTAATAATCCTTATTTTATTTTCCATTTTGTGTTCATAGTTAATTAAAATTTTATAAGAAATGTTTTACACCATCTTATTCTTGATTTTCTTGGTAGGAACTGCTGAATGATCGAAACGTATAAATAAAGCATATTAATGTTAATGCATTTTTTAAATCCAATAATTATATAAATCTATATAATTATATTGACTATATAATTTTATAAATCAATACAGATAAATTTAAACGTAAATACCGCATGAGATTCATTACTTTTGAAAACAAATTGACGGTCTGAAGATGAACCACCAATTTAAAAAAATTATTTATGAAAAACATCAGCATACCAAATCGTACTAACAAAAGTAACACCAGAACGATAAATTTCTTGAAAAATACAAAAAAAAATCTAAAGAATTTTAAAAATTCATGCTAGAAGTAACGCATCTAGGCATCTAATCAACCATTATGAAATAATTTTTAAGAGGGTTAGAAAAATGAATATCTTTTATAATATAATTTATTAACCTGCCGGCTCAAATCATATTCTATTACGTATACGTCCATTATCTTTGGCGAACCGTTACATAAGATTTTCATCCCACTATATTTTTTCGTTGTAAATCCACAAAATCTATTATCTGAGTATTGATAAAAATTATTTGTACACTAAGCTTCGGTCCTTGGACAAACAGAGAGACTGATCCTCGACAACTGACGAGCATTTCTGTATTTGTCCGAGCAAACATATGAACTGATACGAAAACAGCAAATTGTAATCCAACACACGTGCGATAAAATGCTGACGATTGTGACGGAGTAAAAAGTACACATTATAAATTTTATGACTCGAACGTATTTGAAATTCATAATTAGAGAGGATTATAAATTGACGTACAACTAGAAATTAGTTGCAATTAATACGTCAACTTGGATTAATCAAATTTTTATACATACAAGAAATATATTTTTAATACATTCGTTATGCGTTAATTCACTATTCGCATCCCACGTTAGAAACATCATTTTATATATATATTTTTTTATAATTGGGTTCCACGACCTCTAAATCCGCAGACAATGCTAAAGTTCCCATCAAAATATTAACTCGAATTCTCTGCCGTGAAAATTCAATATGTATCTCAGGTACCAAATCAGATATAAGACAGGTCTGACTTTATTGCGATAACATATGTAAACTGAAGACGACACTGATAGCAGTCTTTTTTAAAAGATAAAGATTCACTTCTTCGAGAAGTAGACGTTTTCAATCTATCACTGGGATTGAATAATGTAAACTACACTTTCTGTATTCAGGGAGGTCTTAATCAATAATCTTTCAACTCCAATATCACAGTAATCTTACAAATATTTTTTACTTCTTCACTTTCTTCTAACAAAAATAACAACAAAACTACCTTCCCATCTTACTAGAGCGGGTCGATTTGTATGGGTCAAAAAAAGTCGCTTAGGCACACATGATTTTCGGATACTAGATATCAAAATAAGATACTTTGCTGAAGAAACCACACCTTTAAAATGAATTCTAATGTGCCGTGCATTTTTGGGTCAATGCACGGGTCATCAGAATTCATTTTAGAGGTATGGTTTCCTCAGCAAAGTATCTTCCTCTTAGCAAAGTATCCTCGTCTTATTTTGATCTCTAGAATCCGAAAATCATATGTGCCTAAGTCACCTTTAAATCGACCCGCCCTACATCTTACTAATACATACTATGCCTCCTATTGTTCTGGTCAATTATCATAGGAGCTATGTCCATTAATAATAATAATAATTATTATTAGCACATTATTAATATAAATATAAATATTGTCATCTTGCACCAATTAGATATATTGCAAATACCGCCGTTGCTATATATTATAGATTCTAAATATTGATGTTTTAGGTGAAAATAAGGCATGATTGCAAGTAATCAGCCTTGGTAATAGTTCTATTATCAAATTAATTGTTCATCAATTAGGTATACAAAAGTGCCACTGCTGTTATATTTGATAGTCTTCTAAATATTGATATTGATAATTTAGATAAAAATAAATTATGATCAGCCTTGTAAAAAACGAGAGGTACTGCCGATGAGTCGCTTTTCACGTGAGCGACTCCGTAACAAAGAACAGTGAGTCATTGTCTGCCCAGTGACCACATCGCAAACGCAATGACAATCCCCATATGCCACCGACAGGGGTGACCAACCTTAATAATTTATTCAAAAGCAATAATTTTTTAACCCTTTTAATAAAACAAATAATATTCTACCCCTAAAGAGATGCAGAGCACGCCATCAGGGTATGTAAAAGATGGCAAAAGGATAGACAACAGCTATGGAAGGAGATAATAAGGCAAAAAATCTCAATTCCAACTAATTTTATAATATTGTTGACTGATAAAAAAATAATATGGTGCCCGTATATACTGATATTAAATCCAATAAGATAAAATTATAAATGATTATAAATGAGATATGCATAAGTAGAATAAGACTTCTATATAAGTAGTGTAAAACCACATGTGCAGATATTGTGTAGTCATAGTGAGAAATGTTTTGATGAAAATTATGATTAGACTTAAGTAAATTATAAATGGCTAATGTACTCGTATGCAAAGTCAATAAAACAATGAATTAACAAAAACCTGAACAAAAATAATTTTGACACCTTCGATACGAGTGTCGCCTATAGACAAACTGTGTGCTGATCAAAATTGATCACATTGAATTAAATTACTGACAATTCCAATTTCTTATTGTAATTTTTAGTTCTTTATAAGTGTAAATTTTAAATTTTTATTGATGTTTGGTAATTTTTAAAATAAATTATGTAACAAATATTTGGGCGGTTTGCTGGCTCGTACAGCAGTGTAATTGATGGCAAAAAACGTGCGATAGAAGATTCAATTAAGTAAATATATTTAGAAATGAATAATATTATAAAACTTTCTGAAATATTTAAATAAAGAGAAATAATTTTGTAAAGTAACATAAAAATGCAGAATTAAGATTCATAAAAATTATAACTGCAGTTTTGAATAAAAAAAAATATCAATTCAAAATAAAATAGTATATAACCTATTAAATAAAAACTAATTAACTTTAATACCAATTATTTCAATTAAAATGATAAAAATTAATGTAAAGTAGGTAACCCAGTGATTTTCAACCTTTTCGTACCGACCCTATTTTTTTTTTTAAAAAAATGTTGCATACTCCTTAAATTTTCTAAAAATCTAATTTCATAAATACTCATCTTATATTGAAATTTTGTTATCAAGCTAGAAATTAAAATGAAATATTATGTAAAAATATACATGAAAAACAATAACTTATCATTGGGAGTAAAATCGCTTTAAATGATTTGTACATGTTAAAATTGAACATGTCATTTAAATTTTTTAAAACTACGATTTACCAAGTTTATATTTTGAAAAATGAGTGAGCAATTTAAATTAACTTTTATGTTAATATGTCTCAATTCATTCACTGCCAAAGTAATGTATAGTTTAGTTGTCAAGAAGATTTTATTGTAATTTTTATTATTTTTGCGACAAAAGGTTCTACAACCATGGCCTTTCCCGGAGGCAATCACTGTTATGTGAAGTCAAATCACGGCACCGTGTCTCACATCATATGTAATTCTAATTACTAGAAATAATATTCATGGGATAAGAAAACCCAACGCAAAAAGTCTACGGAAATGATGAATGAAATGATGAAAACTGTGAGTAAAATTAGAACGGACGTAGGTACTATCATATGATCATTAACAAACACACACTTAATTTCAAAATAAGCAAAATGCTACTAAAAATGGGGAATTACGACAACAGATTTATATTTAATTTTAACTTTTTGCAAGCACTTTGGCGAAACGCCACAGGAAAGTTCATAAAACTTTGTGCAAAGTACAATTAGGCGAAAACAATATATGCTGATGCATTATCTCCACGAATTGCATAGAGTTGTAAAAAC